AGAGAAGCCTGAGAGAGGCAATGCCGGCGATTTTCGTGGGACGCTTTTTCTAGGCCGTAGAGCAGCGCCGTGCATCCACTTTTAGGAATTGGAAACACTTACCCACATCCACTTTTCGGTACTGTCGGTCAAATCTCCATATGGTTCATGTCCGTGCTACATCCACTTTTCCATACTGTCGGTCATTTGGTTCATATCGGTGCTACATCCACTTTTCGATCTTTTCGATAGTGGTAGTGCACTGATCGCTTGACAAAGAGAGATGATCACGCCGTCTTTGTCTCTCTTTTATCGCATATGTATGTAGCATCCGTGAAGGCACAAACGCCGATACGTTGAGCACACGGATGCGATCATTGAGAGATAATGTCAGACAAGGAGCGACAATTGCGTGCTGTTCTTGTTTTTCTAACGTATCGCTTTACGGTCGAGATACAATCTTAGAACATATATAGATGAAAGGGGAATGCCTTTGTTTCCCGATAGAAAAACATGTCGGAAGGAAGTAAGAAGAAAAATCATAGTTGCCTCTCTTTTATGAGTAACTCTGCTCAAAAGTGCGCATGCACGGTCATGTGTGTGTACACAAAAGTATGTATACTACAGACACGATGCTTGTATGTGTAGTTACTCCCAAGAGAGAGGCAACTACGATTTCTTTTTCACTTCCTTCCGACACTTTTCAGCCTGCTATTCCCCTTCCATTTATATATTCTAAGGATACAATGGCCGCATTCAGCAGAGAAAGCGCTCAGTTATCGTCTTGTCAACACTTGACGTTGATTCGTTGGTTCTAAAAGTAAGAACCAATCACATTCGATTGCTACTAAGCGGTTTTCTCTGCTGAACGCGGCCAATCTGAAAAACCTATGTGAACTTACCCTGCCGAAAATGATCGATTAAAACGGATTTAAAAAAATGTAATCTGAATCGATCGGGATTTCTGCACCGAAAATGCGGTATTAAAACCGATTGAAAATAGTCAAATCGAATTTAGTACGCTTCAGGCGAGATTAATGTTGGATGATATATCTCCACCTCAATCCGAAATTATACGATTTCATAAAGTTATAATTAAACCTGTTTTAATGCAATTGAATTGGAATTTACCATAATCAATCCATAGGTAAAAATAATCCCTTTTAAGGGTCGGCAGGAGAGACAGTAGAGACCTCTCGCGGGAAGCCGTGAATTACGAATTCGCTTATCCCGTATTACGGCCAAAAAATAAAGAGAATCATGTTAAACCTGTGATATTTGTAATCAGTAGGATCATCCGCAGTCCTGTACAGAGCTATTTTTTTGAAAAAAAGAGTTAAAATAATATTTTATAAGTTGACAAGAAAGGTACATACTAGGTACAGCTCATGGCGGATTAGGTGCAGTTGGCCATGAGCTGTATTTCATTTATTATAAATTTTTAAGAGCCAAAATGCAAAATTCGGCTCTGTACAGGACTGCATAATTATATAAAA